GAAACTACTAAAAGTAGACATAGGGGAAACACTACACAAAATGGGAGTGGGCAACATTTTTTTGAGTGAGACTACACAGGCTACTAAAGCAAAAATACATAAATGGGCCCACATCAAACTAAAAAGCTTTTGCACAACAAGGGACACTGTCAACAAAGTGAAGAGAAAACCTACAGAATGGGAGAAATGTTTGCAAGCTACACAACAGACAAGGGGCTAATATCCAGCATACATAAGGAACGTAAACAATTCAGCAGCAAAAAAACAAATAACTCAATTAAAAAATGGACAAAGAACCTGAACAGACATTTTTCAAAAGGAGACATACAAATAGCTAACGAGCACATGAAAAATTGCTCAGCATCACTAATCACTAATCATCAGGAAAATGCAAATTAAAACCACCATGAGATATCATCTTATTCCAATAAGAATGGCTATTATAAACAAGATAAAACACAACAAATGCTGGCAAGGATATCGGGAAAAAGGAACTCTCCTACACTGCTCGTGGGAGTGTAAATTGGTACAACCCCTGTGGAAAATAGTATGGAGGTTCCTCATAACTAAAAATAGACCCTATGACTGAGCTATCCCACTACTGGCTATATACCCAAAGGAAAAGAAATCAGTACATCAAAAAGACATTTGCATTCCCATGTTCATCGCAGCACCATTCACAATAGCCAAGAGACAGAATCAACCTGAATGTCCATTCAACTGACAAATGGATTTAAAAAACTGTGGTATATATACACAATGGAGTACTATTCAGCTATAAAAAAAAAAAAAATGATATCCTATCATGTGCAGCAATATGGGTGGAACTGGAAACCATCATGTTAAGTGAAGTTAAGTCAGGCACAGAAAGACAAATACCTCATGATCTAACTGATATGTGCAATCTGAAAAACAACAACCACAAAGTGGTTCTCATAGAAGTATAGAGTAGAATAATGGTTACTAGAAGCCAGAGATAGGGGTCAGGGGGAGGAGGAAAATGGGTGGACTAGTGAGTACAAAACTGTGCTATCGACCCTAAGTGAATCAACATACTGTACCCCACAAATGTGTACAAGTAAATGTTAAAATATTTTAAATAGCTGTATAATTATAAAATATATAACTACATAGGAGAAGGCCTTAAACAGAGAAAATTAATTATGACTTAAAGATATTCCTGTTTTGCATGATTTTAAACAACAAAAAACTGAGGAGGGGAAATTTTTCCATGGCCATTAAAAGTTTACTTGATTCCCATTCAGGAAATATTCAGATCTGGCTCAATCACTCTATATTTTAGAAAAGATATTAAAATGCTTCCACTCAATCAATAGCCATATGCAAATTATCTGGAATAATACAACGTACTGGTCTTAAACCCATAAGTTACATCCAACTTCATTTCTGACCAGTGTTTGACTACTTGGGGATTGCTGGCAGTTGAGCATATATTAGCATCACATTCTGACAGATGACGATCTCCTGATGGTGACATTCAGCTGTTGTCAACATTGTAAACACGTCTGCTCAATCTGTTTACATTCCCCCTGAGCTGGCACTGCTTTCCTGATGCCTGTGTTAATAGCAAGGTAGAATTGCAAGAACAAATGAATTTCATTTAGTCTACGGCTAGAGCCTTGCAAAGTACTCATCAAAGGCTTAAAACCAATTTCCATTTACCTTCAATTTCTCTTTAAAGAGAGAAGGAATTTCTGCTACAAAATTACTTTGAAAGTCACAGCATATTCAAGTAATTTTTCCTAGTCATTTTTGGCTTGTTTTCCCCTTATAATTAGAATTTAATTTTTCTTAACCTCCTCATATAAATACATTTAAGTTTCTCTTCTATGACAGTTTCACATTTTTTAGAGAACAAATCTAATGAGAGTATGGTTGCCAGATTCAGCAAATAAAAACACAGGATTCATTTAAATTTAAATGTCAGATAAACAAATAATGTTTTATATGTATATACTAAATATTGCAAGGGATATACTTACACTAAAACATTCATTATTCAGTTTAATTGGTTATTTTGTAATTTAGGGTGTTTTAACAACTTGCATCTATAAATCAATAGAAGGGTCAAATTCATGACCAATGAACACCAGAAATGTTTTCCACTAAGTGGTCTCTTACCTTGAAGAGATTTTTGTTGCTGTCGCTGTTGTTATTGTTGTGTGGGCAGGGGGCAGGCAGATTAATTATAAAGATCTGTTTTGAGAGAGGCTTTCTCACTTTTCTTGACTAGTCTGATGAATAAGGGCATTTTGACTTTTGCTTGAACAGCACCACAGCTCAGCTGCCAGATCTTTTTTGTAATCATTCGAGAGATATGGCAGCTCTCAGAAATATCAGTTGTCGGGCCGGCCCGGTGGCACACTGGATAGTGCGCCGCTTGGGAAGCGCGGCGGCACTCCCGCCCGAGGGTTCGGATCCCACATACAGACCGGTTCCCGCTCACTGGCTGAGCGAGGCGCGGGAGCAGCGCCGAGGGTTGCGATCCCGTTGCCGGTCCCGGTCCGGTACGGGGGCAACACTGAGGGTTGCGATCCGTTGCCGGACACGGAAAAAGACAAAAGACAAAAAAAAAAAAAAAAAGAAATATCAGTTGTCTTTTAAAAATATAGCTTTCTCACACTAATCCAGTTACAGGTCTTAAAAATGAAACAAGGCTTTGTACACAGGGAAATGACCAAGTTGGATGAATAAACTCTGCTTGTTTAAATATTTATATCCAAAATAAAAATAAGAAACTTCCTAAAATTATATTTTTAATTAAGATAAAAGGCTAAAGGGCATAAAATAGTAATAATTTTAAAAATCTCATGAGAATTGCCTTGCAAATATTTGCCAAAGACCTAATATCATGTCACATTCTGCATTAATTTGTCTCCCTTTAACAAGCCATTCCCTTATTAATCTAAACCTTCTAACAGCCAGGCTCCTCCTTTAAAACCTCACTCTCCTCACTGCCTTCCAGGCAGATCCTCAATCTGATGTGCTGGTCACTTTTGCTCTCAACTGTTCTGATTTCCTGTCCATTATTCAATTTAATAAACATCTAAAGTGATGGGCAAGGTGGAGGATTCATATTATCAAGTTGTTTGTAGTCTGGTAGTTCAAGCCGATTATATATTTAAAAAAAATTTATAATAAGGTCAATACACTGGACATCAAAGGTTGGGAAGAGTCTATTAGAGACATCAGTAAAGGCCCAGTGAGACAGCTTCGCAAACAAAAGCCCTGAGGTCTGAGTTCAAGCTCTATCCTTTATTGCTGAGTAACTTTGAGCATATTACAGAACTCTCTGAACCTCATTTAATAATTATTTATCTCAGATGATTGTTGTCAGGTTTAAAATGAACAATCATATATAAAAGGTTTTATGTACTGCAAGACACATTTGTAAGCACTTAGGAAAAGTCAGCAATTATAGAGTAAAACAGCAAAATTGTAACAAAAATGTTGCTGGAACTAGACAGCCATGGTGTGAATACCAGATCCTGCATTTACTAGCTATGCAAACTTAGGCAGCTCACTTAACCCCTCTGAACCTCATCTTCTCATCCATATTCTGTGAATAATAATTCTACCTATCTCATCAGAATTGTGGAGAGATTAAAACTGATTGATTTATGTAAAACTCTTCAGGTAAAAACAAATTCATGTAATACTCTACAATGTCTTGCACTGTAAGCACCTGAATAATGTTAACTACTTTAATTATCATAGTCACAATCGTCATTATTATTATTTCAGGAGGTAAATTTCAGATAAATCTTAATGGGCTGGTAATATTTGAACAAAAATATTAAAAAATTCCTAGCTAAAGAGGCAGCAAGAATAAGAGTAGCAAAGAATGAGGCAAGAAAAGTTTGTTCAGGAATCAGAAAATACAACTGGACCAGAGAATGATGAAGTAGGTAAGAAAGCTAAAAACAGCAGATGAAGGCTTGATTATAAAGGGCTTGATGCAAGTTTGAGATATCTGTAAATACTTCATTACCCAACAGGGAGTCTTTCAAGGTCTCAGAACAGAGGAGTAATGTGATCACGGTTGCATCAGATTAACATGGCAGCACTGGTTCTGGATAGATAAGAAGACGACAGAGACAGGAAGATTAGTTAGGGGGCTCTGTACCTGTTTGAGCAAAAAGTCAAGACAACCTGAACTTGGGCATTCCAAACAAGAATAGAAAAGAGGGGACAAGTTCCCAAGACTGTAGAGTCAGATTGTAAGACTTGGCAACTGTGTAGAGGAGGGAGCGATGGAGAAGAAGCCAGAGAAGAAACTGCCTGAGAAGCAGACCACAGGCAGATTGGTTGCAAGTGCTAGATAACTGGGAGTTGAGACCACATATCATTCTTCATTTAGCAAGGGAGAAGCTGTGCTGGGTCTAGATAGAGTAAGATCTCGAAGCTTGTCCTGAGAAGAAAGGCAGCCCAATGGGAATGGAGAATGAACTGGAAATGAACCCCCTTAGACTATAGAAACTGAGATTCACTTATATCTACTAAACTATGTAAAGGCAGTGCCAAGATTATAATCTATGTCTGCTACCTCACCACCTGAACTTCCACCTGGGTTAATACGGTGGGTTTGTTTAAAAAAAGAAGAGAAAGAAAGTTCTATTATGATTGCTTAGTTCTAGTCCCAAGGGGCCTTTTTTGAGTGGTAATAAGGTCCATGACACTAGGAAGAACTCATATCTTCAAATGAAAATGTCAATACACAGCTGAAGTGAAATAATTAAATAGTACACATGTTTCCATACCTCATCGTTTGAGTACAGCAAATACTTGTATTGAAATCATCACTCATGGAAAGAAAGCTTCCCTTCTCACAGGATGTTAAACAATGAACGCAGATTAGAGCTACTGCTATCACAGTAACTTAGATTCTCTAAGCACGTAATCTTGTGGACTAATGAAAAAATAATACAGTACCAGTTGGTCTTTCTAACTATAATAAAGAAGAGATAAAAATGCCATACCCATGCAAGAAGCAACAGATTTCTTTTCACCGTTCCACAATATCCTAACATCCCCACAATGATAAGGAAACAGCAAACAGCAATCATGACAGGATGAACCACGGGAAAGTAAGTCAAAACGACTGCCTCCTCTACCCTGCAAAAGAAAAAAATAATGTCACATTATAAATAAAATATAATCAAAATGCACCCAAGACATAGTACCCAAGACACAATTGTGATTTATTAGTTTGTTTAAACTGTCATGCCTCAAAACTAGTGACTATTACTATTTTCAAAATCACTGTGCTATTGTTTTTATCTGCTTGCTTTATTTTATTTTATTTTATTTTTTTTAATTTAAGTGGTATCATTCCTACCCCAACTTATTTAAAATATAACATAGGGAACTTCAATAAGAAGTCAAGCCGATCTACTACTAGCTCTGAAGCTTTTGCCTAAGTGAATCACACAGGATCCTTTACTGTTTCCCAGCTGGGGGGAATCGCACCTTCATCTCCTCTGATCTTTGACTCCAAGTGTAGCACTTTACTTTCTCTTGACAACCGACCCTCCCCCAAAATATGAAAGACTGCTGTGCAAAGGGAAATTAACTACATTCAAAGAAAGAAGATAGATGATTTTTGCTAGAACAGTATGAAAAATTCATTAAACAGAACCAGTAATAATGATTATAAAAATTAACCATTATTAAGTGCTTACTAAACTCCACATTTATGAAGACACATCTCACTTAATCCTTACCACAATTCAGATAGTACATGTTACAATCTCCATTCAGAGATGAGGAACTTAAAAGTAATTTGTACCTTGTGATGTTAGCAGCTCAACCTTTGAAATCTGAGAAGAAAATGGTATTGTGGGATTTGGTTTTCATATTTTGATTCATTCGAATATGAAGGTGAGAAGTTGACAGTGATTTTCTTAGGGAAAAGTGCTATGCTGTCCTTTATATGCAAATGTGTCATGGCTTACACACAGTCAAGAGGACAGGCGACTGCTATCACCATATCCAGAAAGGTCCATACAAACATAGTGCCACCTGACCCCCTCTAAAACCAGTGGCGCACCTTAATGAGAATGCTAGAAATGAAAGTGTCTGCAACAAAGGTTGCTGCGGGCAGAAAAAACTTTACCAAAAGATCATAGAAGAGCACTACCATCTAAACAGCTGGGAGCAAAGTTACTTAAAAGCCTGCATCTAAGGAAACTTGATAAATCAGTCATTAATGATGAAGCCTACCTTGTTTCTGCAGTTAAGGTCAGAACATTATTTAGGTAGTCCCTCATCCAAGCAGAAACTGCCAATACGCTGATGGACATTAACTGGGGAGAAAAAAATACAAACTGGTTACCAAGGATTTATGCAACATTCACTGCAGAAGTAACAACAGAAAAAATTTTTAAAATATTGTTACACAATCTTTATGATTTTTCCTAATTAACATTTGCTCCCTGTTGAAATGTACTATTACTATAAGTATCTGCCATTCCATTTTGTAATCATGTCATAGCTACGAAGTAGAATGCGATCAAATAGGATACAGAAAACTATTAAGTTGCTGACTCCAGGTCCAGGACAATTGTACAAGATGAGGAGGCCACAGAACAACTAAATTATCAAATGCATTAAAAGACCCTAAAACACATATCACACTTAAAAGCTAGGAAGTAATCAAATACTACTAAGTTTGTCAAAAAGTCACAGGAGCTAACTTGAAAGAGCTTCTATTGGCTAAAATTCAAACAATTTGAGCATTAAAACAATAGTAATAATAATACTAATATATGCAATGTTTTGAAATATATCAAGTATAATAAAATCTACGAGCTCATAATAATCCTTAAAGAAAACTCACTAGTCAACTTCTTTGGATGCTGGATATTCAACTCATTATTCAGAAAACTTGGTAAGAATCCAATACTTATCCTACCTTTCCTGTACAAACTAAAGAGAGAACGAAAAACTTAGTGCTAAGTTTTAAGACTTAGTGGTATGAATTTCTGCTAATATGGGCAGAAGGCATGCTACGGCATCATCATTTAACAACCCTTTCTTTTTTTTTTTTTTTTTCCTTTTTGTCTTTTTTCGTGTCCGGCAACGGATCGCAACCCTCAGTGTCGCGCCCGTACCGGACCGGGACCGGCAACGGGATCGCAACCCTCGGTGTCGCACCCGCACCTCGCTCAGCCAGTGAGCGGGAACCGGTCTGTATGTGGGATCCGAACCGGGACCGGCAACGGGATCGCAACCCTCGGTGTCGCACCCGCACCTCGCTCAGCCAGTGAGCGGGAACCGGTCTGTATGTGGGATCCGAACCGGGACCGGCAACGGGATCGCAACCCTCGGTGTCGCACCCGCACCTCGCTCAGCCAGTGAGCGGGAACCGGTCTGTATGTGGGATCCGAACCAGACGGCATGCTACGGCATCATCATTTAACAACCCTTTCTTTTTTTTTTTTTTTCCTTTTTGTCTTTTTTCGTGTCCGGCAACGGATCGCAACCCTCAGTGTCGCGCCCGTACCGGACCGGGACCGGCAACGGGATCGCAACCCTCGGTGTCGCACCCGCACCTCGCTCAGCCAGTGAGCGGGAACCGGTCTGTATGTGGGATCCGAACCCTCGGCGGGAGCGCCACCGCACTCCCAAGCGGCACACTGTAGCAGTGCGCCACCGGGCCGGCCCTTAACAACCCTTTCTGAAATAATAGATCCCTAGGAAAAGAAACTCAATGTCTGCCAAATTTATAACGTCAGTGGTTCTTAATCCTTTCTATATATTAGAATCACCTAAAATTCAAAAATTTACTGAGCTCAGGTCTACACTGGACCAATTCCTGAAAGTGAGGTCTGGGCATCAGAAATGTGTATCAGTTCCACAGGTGTTCTAATGTGCAGGCAGTGCTAAGAACCACTGCATCAGGTGAAATGCTGATGGGGATTTCCTGAAGAGATTGGGCTGACCATACCAGACCCCACTGATCAATCTCAGTATCACAAAGAAAGACAACCACCCATAATGCGTCTTCCAATGTGATTCAATCAGAAGTACACAGAAATATCTAGAAAGTGTTTTTTACCAAAAAGTCAAACTTGAATCTAATCAAGCCTCCATCACTCTCAGTTTATAGGAAACACAGGGGATAGATTTATACTTATTAAATGCCACCATGGAGATGCAATCAACAAATTCAAGAGTATGAGAAATTTTACAAGACAAATGATCTGGTTTCTTCAATTAAAAAAATTGGTAAGAGATTTAAAAAAATAGAATAAATTGTTATAGATTAAAAGAGATTTAAGAGATTATCCAATGCAATATATTGATCTGGTTTGGGACCCTAATTCAAACAAATCAACTACAATGAAAGATTTATGAGACAACTGGGAAAATTTTAACTTGAATGTTTGAAAATATTGAGTCTATGGCCATACTACCCTATATGCACTGGATCCCATTTGGAAATATTAAGCAATTATCTTTATTATTTTAGGTATGATAATGGATTAAGTTTAGTTTTTAAAGGGCCTTTATCTTTCTGAGGTATATGTTAAAGTAATTATAAATAGCTCACTGGCTGAGCGAGGTGCGGGCGCAGCGCTGAGGGTTGCAATCCCGTTGCCGGTCCCGGTCTGGTACGGGCGCGACACTGAGGGTTGCGATCCGTTGCCAGACACGAAAAAAGACAAAAAGGAAAAAAAAAAGTAATTATAAATAAACTATAATGATGACTGTGATATGGTTTAAATAATCATGACCAATAGGAATTAGGTGAGAAGTGGAGGAAGGTATATTGATAATTGTTGAGACCGAGTATTAGATAATTAGGGATTAATTATACTGTGCTATTTATTTTGGCATATGTTTTATATTTTATATTGTTCATAATTCAAAAACTTTAAAAATATATATCTAAAACACGATAATAATTCTTCCTGGAGAGCTTTTCTAAAAGCTGCATGTTAATAACCCCCTCATTCTAAAGGTCTTTCCTATTTTGATGGAAATCTTTTCAAAATGTGCCTTATCTTCTTAAGCACAGTATAGTGAAGTTCAGCTTAACCTGATTAAGATTTTTAAAAATTTCTGGCATCTTAATGAACATCAATTACCATTATGTGCTGTGGCTTGAGCTTTAAATGCTGATATAATGAATGTATGAGAAAGGAATGAGTCTGTACTGTGGCCCCAAGACATGCTTTCTGGATCAAGGCCCTGAGGTAAGCAGAGCACATAGAGACTATGGCCTCTTGAACGGTAAAGTACAGCTATCTGCTTGGAGTACCAGCCAGTGAATTCACTCTTCCATCATTCATTTACAAATATTTACCTGCTACTTTGCACTGGGATAGATTCAGAGACTCACAATATATAAGAAAAAGAAGATCCCAGCCTTTTTTGGAGCCTCTTCAGCAACAAGGACAATAAGTATATAAACAAAATAATTAAAGAATGTAAGATTTGCCACGAAGCAGAGAAAAGCAAAATAATCTGCTGAAGGTCTCAGAGACCTTCGGGTAGAGCTGGGATTGAAATCCAGGCAGTGCAGCTTTGGAGCTCCAGGCTGGGTCACTGTCTCCCAAGTTTAGAACTAAGTATGACCTGTTTCACAGGAGTCAGGAGACCAACCTGCACGGCATGCAGGGTTCCATTTAAAAAAGAAGGGCGGACAGTAGTCTGTAGCACCCAGGCTCAGTCTAAATGTCTGAACTCTATTCTTTGGCCAGTGGGGCTCAATGGCTCTTAATGTGTAAATAGAGCTGTATTTTAACATAACTAACTTCCTTTGTAAACCAATACATTTTATTTTGTGCACTAAAATACACTTCTGAGAATGGGTCCCAGGTTTTACATGACTGCCAGAGGAATCAATGGCCTACAACAGGTTAAGAACCCTGGAATACAGTTCAGAGGAGAATCAGGCCAGTTGTTATCTTCAGTTCTCTTGGGAATGAAAACCAGATTGTAAACCTCATAAAAAGTTACCAAGTGGGTCAACCACAGTGTATTAGCCATGTTTCTATCTTCTGTAAACCTGATACTTTAACATCTGTTCTGCATGCATATGCCAGACATACCTTGTGCTGGAGAATCTGACAATATGCCTAGGTTACCTTACCTTAGCTTTTTCATCACTTACCCCCTGATCAGGAAAAGCCACCCTCCCAGGAGTGCACTTTTCAAATACAAACCATCCAATCCAGAGTCCACGCCTCCAAGCACCTCCCTTATTGGCCTCTCACACTCAGGGCCACCTGCCCCAATCACACAGGGCCAATTACTCAAACTGGCCAATCCTAACTAAGCCTGCTTACCCCCCAGCTTGCCCATTCCTTCCCATAGAAACCACAATCTAAACATTTGCTCACAGTTCCCGTCTCTCCCTCTGCCTTTCAACTGACTCCAGTGCTTCTCCTTTTGGCCCCCCATAGTGAGACATGTACTCCCTCTCATGGGATCTGTTAGTACAATAAACTATCTTTTCAATAGCAGTCATCTCCGGATCTGTTGGTCTTAGCATACCTAATTAATAATAGAACCCAGTACAACACACAGGGCTAGCTAGCAGAGGACCATGGATTGCTTGATTGCATCTGAGATCCTCTGTTCTCCCTCCACTTGGCTATACGTGGGTCTTTAAATATCTTGTAAGTGCCACAGAGACAGAAAAGTCTATTAACATAATATTTCATTTCAATTCCTTGAATTATGTTGTAGTTAAAAATAACCGTCCTCTCTTTCTCACTCTTCAAAGTAGTGACTGCTGTTGGTTTCTCCATCCTTAAATTTCTTACAAGCTATTTAGCCAATTTCCAATATCATACATAGCTCTGAGAAAGGTGTCAACAAATTATCTGATTCTTCATCGTGTATAATGTATTATCAGTGGTTGTCATTATATACAGTTCTTTCATTTATAACAAAAAATGTATATTTATCTTCAATGGTATATTACAAGACATTTCTTGTACGGTAGGATGATTAAAAGCCCGGGCTATGAAGTCATTCATCCACTTAAAAAATATGTGTTGGTCACCTGCTCATTGCCAGGTACTGTGCAATGTGCTAGAGATACTCTGATGAGCAGGAACAGACACTATCTCTATGGCACAATTAACTAAGTGAAGAAGACACATGATAATCAACTAATCAGAGATATATAACTGCAAATTGTAACAAGTGCTGGGAAGAAATAGTGCAAGTTGCTATAAGAACTCCTCTTGGAGTGCCTGACCTATTCCACAGAGTCAAAGGGACTTCTCTAAGACAGCTGAGATCTAAAGGATAATTATCAAGTTAATTGGGAAAAGAAGGGTTGAAAAAA